GCTGCTGCTGCTGCTGCTGCTGCTGCTGCTGCTGCTGCAGTAGCCAGTTGCGGCAGGTGCTGCTGCTGCAGACTTGGCCTGGAATAAACGGCCCCAGGTGCCGCATAGCAGCTGGATTCGGACTCTGCTGCCGTTGTTGTTGCTGCTGCTGCTGCTGCTGTTGCTGCTGCTGCTGCTGCTGTTGCAAGAATCCTTGCAGACCCCGCGATGGTGCGTGGCAGTGTTGTATGTAACTGTCGTTGATGTTGCTGCTGTTGCTGCTGCTGCTGATGCTGCTGCTGTTGCTGCTGCAGCTGCTGGTTGCTGCAGCAGCTCGAGGCTGCTGCGAAGGGCAGCAGCAGCAGGACAAAAGAGGTGCAGCACGAATCGGCGGTTTCCTAGTGCTGAGGGCTCGGGTGTATGCACACCTCCAGCCATTGGCGTGCTGCTGCTGCTGTTCCTCCTGTTGCTGCTGTTACTGCTGTTGCTGCTGTTACTGCTGTTGCTGCTGTTTCTGCTATTACTGCTGTTGCTGCTGTTACTTCTGCTGCTGCTGTTACTGCTTTCCTTGGTGGACTAGCGGTTTCTGCTTTGCGCTGCAGTTGCTGCTTGGCCTATTTCTGCTGCTGCTGGTGGCGTGGCTGCTCCTGTTGCTTTGCTGCTGCTGCTGCCGCTGCTGCTGCTGCTGCTGCGTTACGCCACACGGGGCCCCGAGCTGTTGGTGTGGGGGCCCCTTCGTGCTGCAGGCAGAGATCCCCTTGGAGCTACTGCTGTGGGGATCTTTTAATGAGGGGAAGCAGCACCTGCTGCTGCTGCCGCTGCTGCTGCTGCAGTCGGCTGCGGCATCTGCAGAAGGCGCCGGGGGAGAGTTATGGAACCTGCGGTGTCCATACACCCCAACTGAGAAAGAAATAAAACTTCCCTTTCATCACTTTTCTGCTGCTGCTGCTGCTGCGCTGCTGCTTCAGCTGCTGCAGCGGGAACGGGTCTGCAGCAGCAGCAGCAGCAGCAGCGGCCGGGGAGCTGACGAGGTCCTTCTTCTTTGCTTTTGAGTGTTCTTCCTCTTGACCACGAATCAAAAATTGTTTTTTATATTTTATTTCTCATTTATTATTCTTAAAACCATTTCTCTGCTGCTCTCAGGGGGCCCCCAGCAGCAGCAGCAGGGGGGCCCCTCCCTACCATGGCTGGGGGCCCCCTCTTCTTGAGGCCCCCAACCCGCTCTCTCCTAGGGGCCCCTGGGGCCCCCCACCTGCCCCTAAATTACGCCTTAGGGCCCCACTTGAGGGCCTGTTGCTTCAGGGGGCCCCCTGGGACCCCCTGGGCCACCCCACGGATCCCTGGGGGCCCCCTGGGGGGCCCCCCGGGGCCCCGTACCCTCTTTTGGGGGCCCTCCTTGGTACCTCTAGGCACTTCAAAGGCCCCGGGGCCTTTGTGGGGCCCCACCGGCGGTTTTGCGGCC